GCAACCACTCCAAGTGGCAATGTCTAAAAATAGAGCATCTGGTCAATGCCACAGCACGCTTCGCTCCACCCATTCAGACAACACCATGATTACTGGAAAGAACAAGAGTTTACAGTTTTAATGAACAGGCGATGCAGATGGATATACACACACAAAATAGTAAAAGCTCCAATACTCTCTAATTTCTGTAGAGCTATGGAGCACATTAACACCTGCCACATCTATTAGTATTGCCTTATATTAAATATCCCTTTGGAAAAGAGACAGATTGGTGAAAATGAAGTGTTTGGGTTTTAAATGCCAAGAGACAAGTGACACCACACTTAGCAGGGACCTCTTAAGCCGTCTAAGATGAGAACGTCTACTCACCATCAGCCAGGCGTTCCCGCCAGCTCTGAGCCGCATGGGTGAAAAACTCATTATTCAGTGCACTGCTGCTTAGACGCAACAGGCCATCTGTCCCCACCTGGAAGGATCAGTCAAATAACCCAATAAATAAAAAACTTAGAAAGACAACAGAAGCTCCCCCAGAGCGACACGCAGAGGAGGCTACCCATCTGTACCTGTCTGTCCACTTCGGGCAGGAGGAAGAGGAGCTGCTGCTGGAAGTGGGATGGCAGGGCGTGGAAGGTCCGAGAGTTTATCAGGGCCCGGAGGTTGGTGTTGACAAGAATAGACCCAGGTGTCTCAAAATCTATCTCTTCTCCTCTGTTGCGCTTCATTTGACCTGTGATTTTTCAAGTAGTAAAGAGCAAGGTATAGATTTTCTGCTTCTTAAAGCAAAAAAGCAAACAATAACTAAGAAAACAACTTTGATGGCAGGACCCAAGCTACCCAGAACTTATGTGCATACACTGCCTAATTGTCCAGTCTACCCTAGCCTATATGTTATAACTATTCTTTCCAGGTTACTGTCATTGCCATCGAACCTAAACGAACACTTGGGCTTGTATTCTCTCAGACAAGACTCTGTACCATGCTGTGTCACAGCCTGAAGAGGACACCCTTCCCACAGAAAACCAGGCAGGGAGAGGCTTTGACGTTTCCTCTGAAACTGCAGAAGAGGTTCCACAAAGCCAACTGGAAAAATGATGAGAGTTGTCTAGTTAAGTGTACTATAGGAAAACCTGCAGAAGCTTTCTATGCATGGGTTGGAGAGGTATGATCTCCATGCAGAAAGATACTAACGGTTGTTTAAAGCCTACTGAAATGTCAATACTTTTCACAGTAACCTCAGCAAATGTTACTTTTATTTTTTTAAAATCACTAAGAATAGAGACCTGTGAGACCTTAGACTTAGCATTGCTGATAAGTTGGAAAAGCAGCAAGACAGCCAATCTAAGTTGCCACTTGGGCAATGGTTTATTCTAGTTTTCAGAAGCCAAGGCTAGTCATCTTAATGGTTTCTTGTGGCCCATCTACAAACAACCAGCATGTGGTCTCTGAGAAATAAATTCTGAAACAGAAAATAGCATGGCCTTGCAAGCAGCCTGAGGATGGGAGGTACACACTACTGAATATGTTTATATCCCCCAAATTCAACTTAGGCTTCCACTCAACATACTAACTAGGCTGTAAAAAAAAAAGGGCATCTGACAGAGACAATGGATGTTGAGAACAAACACTGCAGGATGCTACCAACAAAAGAAAATAAGTTGCTGGAATTCTTCCTTGGGAAGCTCAGAAGCAATTTCCACTCACTCGAACACTGACTAAGCAATACCAAGGCAGGCACAGGCCAGGCCCTTACAGGGACACACAAGGAGCAATGTGGCACCATCTCTGCCCACCAGTTCTCTCACAGTGTAACAGATAAGATCTTTATGTGGAATAACCAAAATGCAAAGGTACAAGCAAAAAACAGGGGGCCAACAAAGAAATAAAAATAAACTGGTAAAAGTGGAGTAGACTTCATCTTCTCACTAGGCCTGCAGGGGCCCCCTTTACAGGCAGAGAAATGAGTGCCAAGCCACTCACCTGTGGCCGGCTTCCGGAAGCCTCTCAGGAGCGGGGCAGGGTCCCGGGCGACCTCGGCCTGGCCACGAATAGCAGCGCTGCCCAGGGCCAGAGAGCCGCTGCTGCTGCTGGACGGGCTGCCACTCTCGCCATCGGCGTGGCGGCCCGAAAACCCTGAAGGCATAGCATTCCACTGGTCAAAAGCATCACCCGCTGTGCCCATGGCTCTCAGACAAGCTTACTTCTCCCAGCTCTCCCGGAGATGCTGCAGGCAATACTGAGTGCTTCCATGGCCCAGCCTTGGGCTGTCAGAGCTAACCACCTGATGGGCTGGCTTTAAAATGTCATGTTAAGAACGCCAAACCGCCATCTTAGTTTGTGCAGCCCTGCAACTTTTACAAAGCACCTGTACATTCCTTCATCGGACCCTCGTGACCGCCCTGTGAGGCAAGGGGTGCACACAGCAAAGATCAGCACTGGAACTTAGGTCAGGTCTCACCACCACAGCATACTGCCTGCCAGAAGAGGGTTTCCTGACTCTACTGGCATCAAACTACCTAGGCCAGAAACTGCTGCTGGAGGGAGGCAGGTCCCCAGGACCTGAAGAAGGAGCACCGCACCACAATCACGAGCTTACACATACCTGATGCAGATTCCACGTGGGCCCCGTTTACCTTCAGAGGAGTCAGGACAACTCGAGGTAGCATTACCCCGGTCTTTTTCTTTTGCTTGTTTGCCTATATTCCCAGAAGGAATACAAAAAGGACCCGAGTCACTTGCAGAGCCACTTGACCATGTCTCCACTCATTATCTTGTAAAATAGAGTTCATATTCAATCAGCTCTGGCAGGTATGCCGAAAGCAGCACTGACTAATGTTACTGAGCCAAGTCCAAACCCATGTGCCAAGCTACACCCCAATTGAAAAGAACCTATCATTATCCCCATTTTACAGACAGGAATTTGCCCAAGGTCCCAGAGCTAGTGAGTGGAAGAACCATATTTCAAACAGCTGACTCTCAGGCTTGTGTTCTCCCCACTATGCACTGTGCTCTACTTTTCCCTGATTGTTCCTATGTCTATCATAAGAACTAACAAATTTACCCAGTCATAGAAAAGAGAAAAAACAAATCACTCTGCGCCCAGATCTACAACCCACTGTTCCTCGGGCCCACTTTTAAATGGTACTAACAGGTGGAGACCAAATTGATTTTCTTTGTTCTTCAAATACACTCAGTTAACTGCAGGAAGGAGAGTCCTATCTTGTGCCTGGCCTCATTTATCTCCGACTCCGCCCTCCCCAACCCTACCCCCCCACCCCACCC